TCTTATTTCTGTAAAGGTGGATCACAAGTGTGATCGAACCTGTTGGTTTCACCACTGTCATTATGTCATATGTCGTGTGTGTGTGTGTGTGTGTGTGTGTGTGTGTGTGAAAGGAAAGAGCCCTCCACTCTAATGATCTGAAGAAGGTCATGAACACACACTTCACAACGGAAACGTGGCTGTGGAAGGTCCACGGCCTCTGCTGTGACGTCCAACTCGTGTGTGTTTGATTGTTCAGTGACAGGGCGTCTTTCCTCTCAGTGACCTCTCTGCTGTCACGCACACACACACACACACACACACACACACACTGCTCTGGTTGACTGGAGTTTCCATTGTCATTGTTTTCATTGTCATATTTTAAGCAACTACACAGGTGAGTAAAACACAGTATGACCTGACAAGTTCTGCTGCTTCCCACGTGCTGAGAACGTCTGGTATGCCTCAGTGTTAACTAGAAATGTTGTGTAATACTGTCCACGGTGCACTGTACATGTCATCTCTCCAACAATAAACATAGCTAAACTTTCTCAGAATCACAGCTCACAGAACACCACTGACTGTTATCAAAGTCTTGTGCAGGTCACAGGCTCTGCTGACCTCCAGGTGCACACAGAAAACACCCCCCTGTGTCAAGAGTTGACTGCAACGCTGCTTTGGGAACTGAGCACAAAGGGGTTTATTTGGTCAGGTTGTGCAGCTCCTTTCTTTTTCGTCTTGCATTACCAGTGAAAGTGACTGTGTTACTATAGGAGTTGCAGTTTGGTTATGCATGGGGAAAAAAGCACCGCAGGAAATGTGTGTTTGGTTTTTGCCGTGCATTGTAAAGTGTTCCCGTTCAGGGATGCACAATAAGAAAGGACAGAATGGAAATTTGTACAAATTCCCTCAGCAGCTGATGTCCCACCACAGACTGTGGCTGATATTTGACTTCAGGACAAAACAGGTCTAAAATCTGAGGCAGCTGTCGTCGTTTCAGCTGTGAAGGAAGGGTTGTGTCTCTGTTTTTGGGAAGCCAGAGGAGAGTATGAAGGACTTTTACAGGCTTTCAGGTCAAACCATTCAAATGTAAGATGATTTGGCTGCAGAAGACGACATGATTGTAGTTTGGAAACATGTTTGCTGGTTTCTTCAACCGGTACTAAAGTTTATTCACAGTAAAGCTGCACTTTCTTCTGTGCCACTAGGTGCACAGTATCGACACCGGGTCTGGAAGTGCATTCAACTCAACGCTGCTGCAGTTTTGATCATTTACATCATCGCTGTTGGGAAATATGCCGCTAAATTGAAAAACTATGTTGGTGTAAGACTTTGCTCACCTGCCAGTGACAGGTTTAGTCTCCTGTACAGATGTCATTGTTTGGTAGCTGCAGTGAACACACATGAAACAACTGGCATGATCTAACAGCACCAGTGATGCCGTTAGTGCTCGACAGCTGATGTCGCTGCTTTTATGTGCACATATACCCTGTGCTGACTGTGATTTCCACCGTGCAGCTGTTTCATCTCAGACAAGTCGTGTGTTTGCAAAGAATCATATCATCTACAAACCTTACATGTGACTGGTTTAGAAAACCAGATACGTTTGTCAGACCCATTTCAGACTCACTGTGTAACTGGTGGTAAATGTTTGCTGGATGATAAAGGTTTCTCTTTCTGATTAAAAATAAATCAGCTTTAATTTCCATCAGGTAAACCACCTTCGGTCAGGTTCACGATAAAAAGGTCAGTTCACATCCGTCGCTATGTCGTGTATTTTTATCCAGGCCTGGGCAGCACTGGGGGATTCCTGATTCCTGTCAGGCCAGATTTAAAAACACGATCGCACGTGGCTGTCCCATGCACACCTCAGCACAGGGTTCAGTCGGTGTGTGGTGTGCATGTGTGGAAAAACTAGACAGCATAGTTGATGAGAGAACAATAGAAAGAGAAGGTGAGAGGGAAGGCGTGCAATGACAAAAAGCCCTGGTGCCAAGTGCAGTGAAATACTGTCACACTACAGGCACCGTATGTTCACATAGTGTGTGTGTGTGTGTGTGTGTGTGTGTGTGTGTCGCCCTCAGCATGTCACAACACCCCACCTCCCCTTCCTGAGTTGATTATTTATTTAAAAAAGAAATCTAATAAATGGCATCCACACTAAACCGCGCTGGGCAGGAAAGCAGGAGAAGGCAGAGTCTGTGTGGAGAGAAGATGGTTTCTGTCAGGTGGACTTTACAGCTACAGGTCCTGATGATCGAAGTCCAGTCGGAGCTCTGAGGAAGAACCAGGGGCAAAACACACACTCCAAAAGTACACAGACGTTATTATAGCTACACTAGTTCAATTCAAGATGGCCACGTGTCGTACTGATGTCTTATGTGTGTCTTTCTTCAGACACCGTGAAAGTGACAAGAAAACAAAAACATATTTCACAGTGTCTTTAAAGTCTCTTAGGTTAGTGTTCGTTGACAAACAGGCTCAAACGTGCTAGCACACTGAATTAAACGCACTCATATGTAACACGCTGCCCATGTAAAGGCACATAAACAATAACATTATGCACAAACACAACATATGAACATTTACAGTGTGCACTCAGTTTGGGGCTGCATGTCTCTGTCCCATAATGCCACAGCTGCACCTCTTACTAACTTCTGGTCATGTGACACACACTTCAAAATGAACCTTACACAAAGAATCGTGTGCCTTTTAACCAAGCACTTTACTTGTTCAGACAGACTTTTTTCAGTGCTGCCCTTTCTCACATCTTATTTTTATTTATGACACATTTTTAACCTCTGGTGGTGGAACCTTCAGAGATAAACATCACCAAACAACAGCAGATAAAGTCACAACTGTGTGTAGGAGAACACGAGGAGAGTGTGAGACATTAGAGCGTCGCGTTCACTTTGGTCATGGTTAAATAAGGAGGGTGTGTATTCAAAATCAAAAGGTCTTTCCTAAATGTAAGGCAGCTGTTTATGACCACAACACCCTGACTTTCCACTGTACCATTTCACGTCTCAGCTCGAAGGCAGGCTACTGGTTGAGCAACAGAACACCGCCAACGATAAAATATCTCCAACTGCAAAGTGTCAGCTTCCATTACGGTTGATCGTTTTAATTTTCCAACTAAATGAACGTGGGGCTGTGACAGCGGATGTGTCCGCCGCCTGCCTGAGTCTGCGTCTCATTTAATTAGCACCTCAAGACTTCCTTCTTTTAAAGTAACCGCCTGCTCATTTCATGACATGACAACAAACCGGTTTTGTTCTAACAGTTCAGTGGCACAATGAGTGTAACACTGAGGCCTGTCGCTGTAAATACAATGTGCATGTTGTAGCCGTTTGTAGAGTCCGAACCCTGTGCCCCCCTGGTGGAGGTTCATCTCCGCTGCAGTATCTGCACTTTCAATAAGATCTGGAGTGTCCTTCAAATGTCCATGTGTCATGATTTTAAACTCCCTCCCTGAGGCAGCAGAGTTTCCGTTGTCAGCGTAAACACCCTGTCCTGTACGCGTATGACTGTCTTCGGTTTCAGGAACGACACACTGTGGATGGGTATTTCCTCTAGGTGAAGTGCCAGGCCATCAGTCCTGACATGAATACACTACAGACTAGTGTATGTGTGGAGTCACCGAGGAGTCTGAACCCACTGAGGAGCAGTGTGCTCTTAGTTTCTGCTGGTTTAGTTTGAGTACTGTTGTCTGTATTGGGCCGCTCACTGCTCAAGCTGAAGAACAGAAAATACAACTGAACAGTGGATATCTTGTCAGCAAAGTGAAGGAAAGCTTGACGTGTAAATATCTCCGGCTCAACACCAGTCAGTCAGAACTGATGAAGCCTCTTGGATGAGAGGTGAAACGTCTTCGACCTAGAAATCAGTTTACTGTGACCTGGATGACTGAGAATCTGCACAGACATGTTCCCAACCAAGCTGATCTTAAACAACGACAGACAAAAGAATCACATACAAAAACTGTAATCTGCCACATGTCAAAGACGAGTGGAGCTGTGCCTGTGTGTACGTGATCACACCACAGTGTGCAGGGATTGCACCGTCGCCTGCCCAGCGCCGCTGAGCCGGTACACTGGCTCTTAGCCAGTCGACTGTCAGATTGTTTATGGTGTGAGAAAACCTTTATGGCGATCATGTTAGATTATTAGTGCCATGTTCATCTGCTCTCAGCCGTTGTCACTGAGTTGTTTTGCTTCACTCTGTAGTATTAAGTCTCTGTCGGCCCCATTTGATAATAATCAGAACTACTTCTGCAAAGTTAAGTCGAGCACGTTTTGGACACGTGTAGCTTTAGCCTACTTTCAATAAGGACATCAACATCTGCAGCACTTTAACTCTGTCAGAAGCTTGATTCATTATGTTTGTTGTCTTTTAAATAAGAATATATGTAGAAAGTGTCCAAGCTGCAGCATTAGAACTCAGAATTCTAACAGTAGTACATTTTAGTAGTTGATGTTTGCAGCTTTTAGCTGTTTTTCTTTCAGTTCTCTACTGCGTCATCCTTTGTGGGAGAGACTTTTGATCAGGGGCACTCTGTGAGTTTTTTTAAATAGCTGAAAAAACTGGATGAGATTTTTAGGTCAAAGATGTTTCACCTCTCATCCAAGAGGCTTCATCAGAGTTTTTTTAATACACCACATAGTAAGTGCACTGAAGGACAGTGTGTTTCCTGCCAGCTCCTACTTATGGTGAAAACCAACTTGGACACATGTAGAAAATATTTATGTGTACAGGAAGTTACTGTATGATCACTGTCTGATATCACACCTTAAAGGTTATTGTGTGAGTTGTTTTTATGAACATTTGCTATAAATGTCTGTGCTAGTGTGCGCTTTTGTGTCTTCGTTACCACAGAGGGATGTGTCACACTCCACTGATCTGGACAGCAAACATGCAAATGACGTTCTGCTGGCACAGAAGAAAACACATCTCAGACTCACAGTGTGCGCTCATCAACTGTCTGACAGCGCGTTAACCTGTAATTGTGTTTTTGTTTTCAGGCACGTAACAGGCAAAATGGAGAGCTCGCGGCCCTCAAGATCATTAAGATGGAGCCAGGTGGGCGTTCTGAATGTTTCTCCTTTCATTTCTTCAGGAAATAACTGAACTCACCGTAATCATTTTGGGCAGCAAACAAAGAAAACTACTTCATCCATTCATGCTCCCACCTCTGCAAGTATTTTTGCTTGTGTGCTGCCTACAGTTATTAAGCACACCTCGCTGCAGGTTTGAGCGCATTAGCTGCACAGGAGGACTTATCTTCATCTTTGCTTTCACTCCAACAGCTTCTTTCAAAATGTTTCTACAAGTTACGATACCAAGGTGTTAAAACAGAGAAGTGAAAAACAGGCCTGTAGAGTTTCTCCTGTGCCCTGGCCACAGGTAATAAGCAGGTTTCCAGCCTGTCCCAGGAGCATAATTCACCTGGTGAAAGTCCATGAACGTCTTGTAATGTAGCACAGTTACTGACTCCCATTCTCATTATGACTCCATTGGGTGAGCTTTTCACAAAAC